TTCGTTCTAAAGCGAAACGTAACATTGTCAAATCAACCGATTCAAAAGCTTTAGAAATGTCTTGAGAGAGAATCCAAAGTGGTTTTTTGTTGACATCAGCATCATGGATAATAGATTCTAGAGTAATAATAGGGTCGCGGCAAGAACCACCAGGAAGACCAGCGAAGTTACCACCTTTAAGAACATCATGTGTAGCCATAATAGTAGAAAGGCGATTATAAAAGAGTTTGACAAGAGATTTTCTAATCACTTCAAGTAAAGTAATAGGACGAGTATTTTTCAATTGACATTTCCATTCGTGAGGTTTGGGAATGGGAAAAACCATTGCCTGTCGCCATAAGTCAGGAATATCAGCTTTGGAAAGGCATGCTTGAATTAAAATTAGGAGTATAGTCGATGTACTAGATTCTAGTTGTTTGAGCATTTCATAAGTGATCATGGAAGGACCTGAGGCTTTACCGTTAGGAGTAGAAGAAACTGTGGTTAACCATTCGTCAAGGGTAGGGGGATTCATCAAAGAATCATAGATGGAGGAGGGCACATCATCCATAGGTTGGTAAACAGAAGACCATCTATCAGGTAATGTATCTACAGATACAGGAGGAGTGGATTTTATAGGTACAAAGTTTTGGAAATGGTTAACAACAGCATCGTCTATATCCTTGGGAGCAGTTAATAACTGAGGGTGAGTGGGATGATCAACAAAGACACGATCCAAAGTGATACGGCGGCGGGTGCGAGAAAGCGCTGAATCAATGAAAGAGGAAAGGTCAGTTTCAAAATTATTGTTCCTATCGTCCAAATGAGCACGAATGGAGGAATCTTGGAATTCTTTTTCTTGAAGTAAATGAAATCCCCGTAAGGATTTTGAAATATTGGATAAATCATCAAGAAGTGACTTGAAATCATCTTGTCGACATGATGAGAGAGAAGAGGGCAAAGTAGGAACGAAAGTAAATACTTTCTTATATAATTGCAAAATGTTTTGAAGTCTGATTAAATGAATAGACCACTTATGTTCATGAGCGGCAGAATAAGTTAAAGGATATTTGCGCAATAAACGTATTGAATGCATAAGGCGATTTAAAAACCGATAATGTTGGGTTAAAATTTCCAGATCTTTAGGAACCTTAGGAGTATAATTATTGCCAACAGTGGAAGAAGGTAGTGTAGCGTTGGCAGCTTTAAGAATTCGTGATTGGAGATATTCGCACATTTGATTGATATGCCAGGAGGAAAAGGTTGAAGGTGAGACGTCACATAAAGCATCAGCTTTATCAGCAAATTCCGTCCATTGAATTTCAGTTACAGAATCAAATTTGAAGACGCGACGGGTTCGGCGCTTAAGTTGTCGAGCGCGAGCCAATTTGGTAGAGGCAAAAAGTAAAGACATATCATAGTATGTTATGACGGGGTTATGATCAGATGTGCAAACATCTTGAGCATTAAAAATGCAAGCAGTAAGAGCAAATCCTTTGAGAAGAGGGCAGGACCATACATAATCAACTCGAGTAATGTGGTCATTGCGATGAAAGGTACCTAAGGAGTCGGAAAGATTAATAGGAGTATAGTCTTCATATCCGTGAGAGAGGAGATGAAAAAATAATCGGTGAATATGTTTTGAAGCAACTTGAGGTTGATTGAAGTAAATAGGGTAATATTTGTCTAAATGCATATTAAAATCGCCACAAACAGCATGGTAAAAGCCAGCATGTTTAGTAAGGGTAAGTTGTTGAATGAGCAAATCAATAGTATCAGTGCGCAGAACACTTTCAGCAGGGGGAGGGATATAAATAACAAATATACGCAATTTAATATTGCCTTTGAAATATAAATCAACAGAAAGTAACCGTGAAGAATGGGATTTAAAATCTTGAACATGTGAAGCAAGGGAATTTTCTATAAAAAGAGAAACACCACCAGAAGAGAGAATTTGTTTAGAAGTATCCAAATTAGAAGAGAACACAGTATAATTAGAAATACGTTTGGATAAAAACTTCATTTGTTTAGGGTGAAGATGGGTATCCACGATACCACCAAAGGAAATATGTTTTAAGGAAAAGAAAGTAGAAATTTCTTCTAATTTAGTCTGACCATACATTTTAAGGCCATTAACATTAAAGGAAGAAATATTAAATGAATTGGGGATAGGGGAAGTGTTACTGGAAGAGGAAAATAACGATTCATGCGAAAAAATTTCAGTAACATTGTCAGGGTTGGGAGGGTTTCGTACAAAGGTATCATAATTAAAATTATTGTCCGACATTAAAACACAATGATATAAACAGTCGGGGAGTTAAAATTTGAAGAAAGAAATTAATTGGAAGAAGCTGAATCAGCTTGTTCCAGGGGAGCACCACCAAGGGAGCCAATGAATTGCTTGATATGACCAGTAAGTTGGTCCAATTTACTTTCAATAGCGACACGACTATTTTTGAGATCATTAATTTCTTCTTGTGTGGAGGAGATGGGAGTAAAAGGAGGAGCATTTGGAGAAAGGTGAGAAGAAGGAAGTGATGTGTCAGGAATAGTAGTGAATGTAGGCGAAGGTCGCGTTAAAATGCTTTTGGGGGGCAGTAAAGATTTAGCGGAAGACTGAATATTAAGCGGAACATGAGTTACAGGGGCATCTTCTTGCATGAGGTCCGGTTCAGGTTCATTGGGTATAGGGAGTGGATCAAGGCCAAGGTGTGATTCAATACGAGTCATCCGTTGGTCAGCAAGTTCAAGAGCGGAGATGCGTTTGTGAAAGTTGGCAACTTCACATTGTAAATCTCGCAAAAGGTTTAAAATGTTATTAGCATCATCAGGAGATAATGCAGAGTTAGGAGTTTGTCGGGGTAAGGGACGTGCTGTAGAACGAGAGGAGGAAGAAAAGGAGACAGATCGTTCTTTACTATTATGGCGGGCACGTTGAGAAGTATTGGGAGGGGGTTTGTTATGATTACTATTATCATTATTAGTGCGGTCATGGGAAGCGTTATTGGCTCGTCCAGAATTGGGAGCAGATCGATCTTTAGATTTGGAGCGAGATCGAGAGCGAGAACGTGCATTGGCAATATTAGAATTGGAGCGAGGTTGATTAACATTGAATCGTTCTTTGAGTTTTGCAACAGGGTCGCGAGTGCGGCTTCTACCTCTGGTTTGTTTGAGTGGGCAAAAATTAGGAGCACAACCTAGTTTGCCACATCTGTGACAAAGTTTATTAGTATTATCGGGGGAGGACCAGAAAAGCACTTTGCCTTGGAAGCTAACAGTCTGTTCCATAGCAGCATCCATGGTTTCTTGGGAGTTGAAGGTGACATAGGCCCATCTTTTGGGTTTGTAGGAATTTAAAGAAAGAGGAACATTGACAGCTTTTGCACCAAGATCGCGTGTAAGAGGAGCCAAGTTGATATCCTTAACATTGGGAGGAAGTTGAGTGAGGGTGGCAACGTATTGACGGCGCGCAGCCTTTTGATCCACAGTATAGAAACATGGAGTAATTCGGAGACAGGTGGAGAAACAGTAAACAGCCCATTGGTCGGTAAAACGAGCAATTGAATCGGCGTGATCATACACAATACGGGCTTGCTGGACTTTAGCATTAGGCCTGGAGAAGAGGCGACAAGAGGTAATATTACCAAATTTTTTGAAATAGGCCATGAGGTTGTCTTTTTTAATGAAGAAAGGGATATCGGTAACTTGGATAGCCCGGAGATCTTCATTGGATCGGAGTTGGCGAGGTTCATGTGCATGAAAGATTAAGTCAGGGAACTCAGGATGGGTGGAACCAACGCACAAATCGCGTGCTTCAGCTGTATGGAAGTGGATAACGAGGCGTTTAGCCTCACCAGAACCTGTCATACGAGCTTTTCCAGTGAATGACTCGTACGTTTCTAAGAAAAGGTTATTCACAGCCTCAATAAGGGCTTTATTGGTAGGGAATTTCTTGAGTGATTCAGGGGCAGCATTCGGCGCAGCCGCAGCCTGAAAATCATCTCTGGTTATGGCAAAGGTCACCACTGGATCTGGGGTTTGATCGCCATCAGGAGCACCATTAGTATCCAAATTGGGTGACGCGTTAGGGGGTTGTTGCAAGTCTTTGTTTGAAGGTGCATGCATGGACGCGTCCACATTTCCAGAAGACGCGACGTGACTGGGCGCAGTTGGCGCAGCAGATTTTTTCGGGGAGGAGGTCAAAGTATTTTCGCCAGAGATATTTTGTTGAGGAGAAGAGGAAAATCCATCTACTCCAACGTCAGCCGTCTGGTCATCGGCAACGTAGTCTTCTTCCATAGAATTATCGGTAATTGTGCGATTACGTTTCTGCTGGACAGTGTTTTCACCATCAGAGCTTGAGTTATCAGAGTTATTGTTATTTTTTCGTTCTTGACGGGAAGCTTTCCTACTGTTAGGGTTATGACTTCCACGGCCTCTCTTGGCATAGTTACCAGACATAGTAGAGGGCTTTGAGTTGGGAATATATAAAATATAAAATTTTATTAGTAGCTTGTATTATTTTTTTAAAAATAATAAAAAAAAATATTTTTCGTCGGAAATTTTCGTTGTTGAAAAATTCAGGAGAGAGTTACTGGTCAAAAACCAATATATCGGGTAGCAGATATGTATCAGATATGTACCCGATATGTGTAGTATTAATGCTGAAAATCGGGTACCCGATATGTGTAAGATATATGTAAATATATATATCATATACATATCGGGTACCGATATGTATATGATATGTAAATGATATGTAGACGATATATATATTTACATATATCTTACACATATCGGTTACCCGATTTTCTGCATTAATACTACACATATCGGGTACATATCTGATACATATCTGCTACCCGATATATTGGTTTTTGACCAGTATAAAGATAAAGGCTACTATGCCACGTTTGCCTGGTTTTTGACCAGTGTATTACTAATTCTTTTTAACAAATTTTAATAAATTCTTTATAATAATTACAGTTATTTGTAATTTAATAGAATCACATTTTTCCAATATGTCTTATTTTATTTTAACTGCGGCTAACACTTCAAATGAGCTTGCAAAAGTTACAACACTTTTCTTATCTGCAGTTAAAAAACAGCCAAAATTGATGAAATCCTTTCATATAGAAGTTAAGATTTCTGATGAATGATGATAGTATTCTATTACGAGTTTGTCTTAACTCCATATTATAGTATGATGTATATCTTTATAACAAATTCAGAACTGAAGTGATTATAATTATAAAGGAATATATTACAACCACACAGAAGATAATCCCACCTGAAGAAGATGAACCATCTATAGTAAATTTAAATTGTGAAGATCTTGAAAAAAATAAGGCATATACTTGATGTAATAGGACTAATTATCATGATAAATCTCTTTGTGATAAGTTTAATATTTGTATATTCACATAATTGCCATTTTTATCATGACACTTATCAATCTATTAACCTTTTTGTAGAATATGATTATATTAAGTATATATGTGCAAATCTGAGATTCTTAAGAAGAAATTTGCAATTTTTATTGCACTATAAAACTTATCCTTCAGAAGCTCTTTACAAAAGATTATGTTGTGTTATTGTGATGGGAAATTATTAGAGAATTGTTCTTTGCATCTTATTTTAATAAAAAGAAAGACAATCACTGTGATAATAAGAAATTGTTATAATGAACTAATTTCTGGTCGGTTTTGTTAAAAGTTAAACTATTGAAATTCCACACCATGGCAGTTAATTTTGGCTGGTGAAAGTTAGCTCAGTTGCATAATAAATATATGCAGACATGCTATACATATGTCTACTTATTGTTTAATAAAGAAGCTTAGGAGGTGATGAAGGAAAAGGTGACAAATAATGAGCTAATCTCAAAACTGAATATCTGAAATTATCCCAGGCTGAACTATTTGCTAGTGGGCTGTATGGAGCTAGAAAAATAGCATTTGCAATTAGAGAAAAGTCAATATATATCAAGCAGTATTAAGAAACTAATAGATTTTGTCAATGAACTAACAAAAGCAATAAAAACTACCAATGATTCTGTTAATGCATTAACAAAGAAAGATTTCAGGAAGGATTCAGTTCTCTTATTAAAGCAATCGATAAACTTGCACGTTCAGAGAATTCTTAATCTGCTGTAAGGCAAATTACGTAATATTAATAAAAAAGTTCAATTCAGAAAATTATATTAAAGCATGAATATTATATTTGTATTTTGTAATGGCAATGTATTCGCAAAATTTATTATTTAGTATATTAGCATTTAGTAATGAGATATAGCTTTTTTATATAGTTTCGCTATTATATTAATAATTTCTAGTCATGAATATGAATGAAAGGTCTGTGTGATGGTAAATTCCAACATAACACTTTTTTTTTACCTGAGCATAATCACCCTATAAAAGCGTTATGTTACAATCTATTAATAAACTGGCAGTCAAGAGTGCGTCATGCTCAAAAGTTCTATCATACGCAACTTGAATTATAGTTGTTAAATGTTAAAATGAAATGAAAAGGGATATGATTTTTCGTAGATTCATCTCGGCCCAAAAAGATAACTTCGAAAACATTGTCAGAATTTCAGAATACAAGAAATATAGGAGTACATCATCAAAATTCAAAATATACAACCTATATGTGATATGCCATTATACATACTATTAATGGAAAGGGTACAATCATTAACTACTCTGATTTGGATGATAATTGCATCTATAATACGAGTAGAACTGAATACTGAATTTCACTAACTGAAGACTTCCTCAAAGATGACACAAAATTGTGTAAGAGTGTAAAGAGTGTTTTAGAAGTGATCGTAGGATTATTAAAGGATAGAGCAGTAGGTAGTGAGGAATCTGCAACTAAGAAGCGCCATGTAGAAGAGATAATTAAGTAATTGTTATCAGTCATGTTGTAGATGATAACTGATTTACCACTAGGATTGCTATGTATATCATATGGCCGAAGGCCACATGATAGAGTAGCATCCTAGTGTAAATCAGTTATCATAAACATGACTGATAATAAAGTTATTGGATATGTATGACGTAAAGCAACTGAGACCTTTTCGCGTATCTTATTTATTATTTTATAATAATGTGATCAAAATTTTGTATATCACTAATTATAAAGTGACCAAAATTTGTGTATCACTATTATAAAGTGATCAATAACATACGTGAAAAATGTCCAGTTACATAGAACATATACAATAAGAAATAGGACACTAGCATAGATTCCATAGAAAATTCGTCACGTATCGCAGGCTACGTCACAAACTCTGTATTTATTTTTGCATGTATTAATAAAAAAATTTTCTTGGAAAAAGTGATCTGTGTGACAATTTGTCACGCGCACATTATTTTTTTATCTATCGTTCATATGTACTAATTCGAACTTTTGAATTATTCCGTCTCGTATAAAAAATATTATTGAATATGTAATCTGAGATTGATTCGAAGCTCTTAGAAAGAAGTTACTAAAGTTTAAGGCTGTGAATGCGAAATTGAAACATATAAAGAGAATTTTATTGGTTACAATTTTAGCGTAACTCAATCAACCAATTTTGAACTAGCCCAATCTTGAAATGGCCTAGTGTACTGATGGATTAAAATAATAAAATGTGGCTTTGTTTTAAGTAATCTATAGTTCACAATCTCTAGCAATTTTCTAACGAAAATGTCAAGTACTTACACGGTTACACCGGCTCAGGTGGATCAACTGGATCATCCGACAAAGCAGTTCTGACTTCTGATACTATGGCGTAAGTAGTTATAAGTACTGTAACTGGAATTTTCAAAATTTTTTCTTACTTCAGTTACTTTTAGTGATGCCGATGCTGGTGTGGCTCCAAATCAAACCCTGGTATTAAATTATTATCGAAATTTATGGTGGAAAAGCGGTGAATTTAGTTCGAAAGCAAAGTGGGAGGAAGTAACGTAAGCCTTTTTCCTAACTGACATTTTTGAGCTAGTAAATTACAAAACTAATATTTAAATTTTGCATATCAAGACTTCCTTACGTACTTGTCGATAATGTCTCTTTACGCGAATATGAACTTCGCACCGACAAATTCAACATACGTGGTGTGTGGGAATGGAAAAATAATAAAGTAATGATTTACGAACTTCCGTCCAAACCACACGAAACTTGTATCTACGCGATTAATAAGGTCATTAGTCGAGCCTGTACTGCTGTTGATTATACTAATTCCAGAATATTGAATCTAGGAGCAACTCGTAAGCATCAATTATTAATTTACTATCTTGTCCTTATTATTATTATTTGTACGGTATAAATCTTTCTTCTTAAGGAACTCACGCCGATGATTCCGGAAAAGAGGCCGATTCTTGTTTTCGCCCGATGAAAGCACGTGTTCCAGCACCAACTGGAAGTGACGGAGAGGTATTTCTACTTCCCCATTAGTTTTGGATCCCTTAGCATCAAAGTTTTATGTTTTCGTTATTTCAGAGCGAACCCTGGCCAAACGTCGTAGTAGAAGTTGCGTACACTGAAAGTACAGATCACGTTCTCGAAAAAGTAAAGGAGTACTGGTTACCGGATTTAAGTCGTGTTCACGACGTAATAGTAGTTAAAATCGATCCGGTTCCTGATGGAGAAATACCTTTGCGCATGCAAGTAAGTTGTATTAACTAAATGTTTCCTTGCTTGTATGTTATCCTAAAGAATTTAACCTATGTAGGCGTGGCATTTTTGTGTAAATGACAGAAGAACGAGGAGTGCACCACCTGAGGCTCGAACTCATGTAATGTTACAATAGGAACATTTATCCTTTTATCAATCTTTTCAATTAATGTGAATGATTTATTATTAGTTTGAATTTGGCACCTACGACGGGAACAACCCGCCCAATCAGTTGAACATTGTACCGGGAATGTGCCTAATCAACATCGATTTAAATTGCCTTTATCATGAAGCATACCCGGGTACCCAGATTCCCACTCCTCCCACTCTCCCCGATCCCATTGTACTGGATTTCTACCAGGTTCTGGATGAATTTTTATGTGCATATAGAGTATAATCGAAGCTGAAAGCAACCAGGTTATGAATTGATGAATTAATTGGACTAATCATTCTTAGTCATCAAATGCAGTAGTTAATATCTTATAATGTAAAAATATATATTTTTATTGTTAGAAATCAGTTAATGTAATACAAATGCAAATATAATAAAAACATTGGTCAAGCTCGACTGAGACTCAAATTAAGAATATTGTAAATTTTTCTTTGAGTCTTCTACAGGCAATACAGATAATGCCAAAAGTGATCAGCATGACCGTACATGACTGAGGTGTCTTAACCGCACTTATTCCTTTAACTCACGTTTCCAATTCTCTAGATGATTCCCAAATTGAAAGGTCGTAATGAAGGGGATTATTATGGAGATGATGGCATGTATGATGAAGGATGTTATTACAAAGATAAAGGGTATTATTATGAAAACGGAAGATGTGAAAGAAAAGTCTTACCAATAGAGTCCGGTCATCTCTCTAGTATATATACTTGGGAAATACTCAATAACTGTCACCTGAAATGCGCAGTACGATATCGGAGAGATTCTTGCCGAAGAATAGGAGCTGTGCGACGTGCGATTTGCATATATATTTCGTTTTTCGGAGTTGATTTGCGTCTATTTTTTGCGTGTCATGTCTCCGGCCACGTTAGTATCATACTAACAAAACAATTCGAATATAGGTAGTTTTTTGGAGCAATCATTATTTTGCATATGGGAATTGGAGATATCTATGCTAATCATGAAGTCATTTTTATCGATTTGCAAGGGGATTAACGGAATGATGAAATGCAGTGCGTAATTGCTGGTGAAAATTAATCCCGAAGGGAATGTTTTCTCCTGGACATTTGCCTGGTGCTATAAAAACAGGGCCTTGTATGAAAAATTACATAGCTATTTTTGGAAAATGATACCATGGAGAACCAAGAGAGCTCAGCTAATACAGAAGTTCCATTTGATGTGACAGAAATCACTACTGACGATATCAATATGGAGGATTTCTCTACTCAAAGTAGTGATATGACCAAGAAGGCGAGTAGTATGAACAAATCTCAAATCACTGCTCTAGCACAGATAATATGATTCGTTCTACTGGCATTCATATTCCGGAGATGAAACCATGCATTTTATGTAAACAAAAGTTCATCTCAGCCAATCAAAGAATTTACTATGGCCAGCTGTGGCTGTCTTTACCACCAAAAGTGTCTCGAAGGATATTTCCTGAATATTGCAAAAAACAAGAGCCAAGCTAATATGTCCAAATTGGGATTGTAAAGGCGGAGTGATCAAAACTCTAATAACTCAAGATCTTTTTAAGGAAATGGGCAAACCTACATCCTCAACTGTAGATGTCACTAAGCCAGTAGATTCGGAAAATCAAACTCCCATGAATGATGATGTAACACTAATGGACGAACTAGGATTATTAGACAGAGAGAAACAAAGTTTGTCCAAGACTGCTGACGTTGTTAAAGAAACTTCTGACCTGGCCCTATTGAGGTTGTTAGCTCTACACCTGGTAATTCCAAAAATTTGGATGACTTGATTTCAAAGGAGTCTAGCAAGAAAGTGAAACAGACTAGTGGAAAGAAAGTATTGTCTATGCTAAAAAAACTTATTGATGAATTATTAACTGATGTACCTGTTCCCACTGCTGGAGAGAGCAAATGATAATGGAGTCAGTATTTTTTTGCAACTCTCCAATAAGATTAATAATGCTGTAACTAAAAATGAAGATGTATCTTGAGATTTTATTTACAGCTATTTTGATTTTGGGGAAACTGTATTTAAACGATACAAGGAGTTAAAAGTTAAAACTTGTTCATGGTAAAGACGAAGTTCGAGCTTTAGTTAATAGTGAGGTTAGTGAAGAGATTCCTGAGACGAAATGTTCCAATGATGCTTTGCGAAAAAGGATGAAAAGAGGTTGGAAGATGTACAGGATTTTTAATACTATTGGTAAAGAAAAAATGGCTCAGATCACATCAATTCCCCTGTCATTTATCTTGAATCTAACTCAAGATGACATCAATTATATGATTGCTAAAGTTTTAAAACCATCCTGATCAAAAGATTTATCGCACCAATTTGATTTACTAGATTGGGCTCAAATTCAATTAAATTTAAATCAAATTTTAGATTTGGTTTATAATCTAAATTCATAATCTGATTTATAAAATAGAAAATAGATTTGATTTCAGTACAGTTAACTCCCTCTATAGTCACTCCCGTTATAGTCACATTCTACTATATAGTCACACTAGTTGAATGTTCAAAACACTTTATTATTAAAATCTATCCTATATAGTCACAATCTATCTTTAGTCACTATCACACCTATCCTCAAAAATCTTATATTAAAAAGAACCGTTTATAATCACAGTTATATAAAGAATATATTAAATAACTTGGCATCTAATAATCGTACAAAGATGTATCATAACTTGTTAGAATCGTTTCACTGAGACGAATCGAATGGTGGTAGTTTTATCCTTTTCTTTTGCAAGTGTTTACGGCCAGACCACCCATTGCCTCTTATGAGACTAATCTCGGGTCTGTGTCCTATCATCTTCAATGGGCAACCATTATAGTTTTATCCTTTTCCTTTGCAAGTGTTTACGGCCAGACCACCCATTGCCTCTTATGAGACTAATCTCGGGTCTGTGTCCTATCATCTTCAATGGGCAACCATTAAACCGAGTACTTAATTCCTCAAGTAACAGCACCACTATAGAAGACATCCCCCATTGGGCCATTTTAGGCTGATCTGAAGCTAGGTACACGCCGCCTACTCATCCTATACCCATTGCATGATACTGGTACTCAATTTATTTAATGACCTTTAGAGAGCACCTATTTTCATGGAGGATTTTTGACAGGTAACATCAATCATCTAGTACCCTTCCATACCACTATTTTAGGTACTAAGTCTCACTCAAAGGCCACCACAGGTCGAAATGCTAAAAATCGGCAAAAAAAATGGCGTGAAAAGCAGTGGTTATTCTTGGCTATTCTTGGCTATTCTTGGCTGTTTTTGGCTATTTACGAATTAACCTATACTATTTGTAAATAGTTTATACAAATTTGCGAATAGTTTATGCGATTTGCGCCATTTTTTTTGCCTATTTTTGATCATTTGACGTGTGCACTACAGCCCGCGATTACCTAGCACCGATAGTACAGTTGTTTACCCCAAGTGGTATACTTTGTAGTGACCACTCAGACAGGAAGTAGCAGGCATCTGTCCAGGATCACCCCTTATGGTGGGTATCAACCACTAGGGATCACCAACTAGGACCCAAGGAGTAGGGAATCGAACCCCATAGCCAGGGTTGGGAAATGTAGTACTGTACTGTACCAGTACAGTTAGTACAGTACATACAGTACAGTACTGTACTGAGTTTTTTTAGTACAAGTACATTTTTTTATATAAATTACAGAGGTATTTTTAATCATATATACCCTGTTTTAAGTGGTCCAGTGATTAGATTTCAATAAAATTAAGCTTATTAGATTCATCTCAATGAGAGGAATTTAATAGTATTTATTTTATCATAAATGAATCAAAATAACTTTATTAAATATATGGTATTTAAAATTTTAAGTACAATGTACTAACTGTACTGTACTGTACTGTACTGTACTGAAATTTTACCTTGTACACCATATTTTCCCAACCCTGCCCATAGCCATACTACCTGTTCTGTGCACAAACACCTTGATTGGTCTAAGACCTAACAGAAAGTCTAACTACCACTAAGACATTGCACCCTCAGCTTTACCATCTAGGACGACCATCTAGCCATTACTGACCCCAAGCGGTATTGTAGAGTGACCACTTGGACAGGAAGTCCCCCTCAAGGTATAGTAGTGACCTCAAGAACAAGACTGCGCACATGCCAATGGCCTCATAGGGAACATTAGAAGGACACCATGACCCTTAGTTGAAATGTGCGGCCTAACCATACACACTAATTCACCATGATGCAGTCCAACTACACTAATCCCTGTACCTTCACGCTATTGGTTGTAGCATCCGCAGTAAAATTCTTTTTTATTTCCGTGGTCATGGGAATCGAACCTGCGACCTCACCATACTCAGGCTTAATGAGGGTCTCAGTGACTAACCACTGAGATAGGGTGACCAACCCATATATTTGGTGATTATAAAGAGATGTGACTATATAAAAAATTTCTTATATTTGTATATCATAATTCCGGCCAAAAATTAACATAATTTTAGCCAGAATTATACTTAAAACTTTATTGTATTGTAACTTTGCCAATATTAATCGTGGAGAGATGATCTTACCGCCATTCGATTCGTCTTGATGAGACGGTTCTAATGGTATAAAATACGTCGAAATCCAATCACTATATTAATTTCTGAAATTAAAAAAATATTAATGGTTTTTGTGTAATAACTCTGTCAATNCTGTTAAGCGGCGCAGAAAATCCAGGTGCGAGATCCACGATCCACCCCGAATTATAGAAGAGGATATCCAAGAAATCCAGGAATCCTGAGAAACTGTCGCCAAAGAAGAGTTGTGTTTTTGTGGAGAAGTAACGATAGAAGGAGAAGTTGTAGATGGGCCACGTAATTTGGAAGCAGCCGAGATACCCTGCGACTCTTCCCAAGCATGGAAAAGAACATTCCGGCATAGCCAAATTTCACCATATAATTCGACTTGGAAATCATTAAGGAGAGGAGAAATAGTCTTGTATATGACAGAGAGAGGAAAGTGTTGGTTTAAGAATGCTGTTAAATGTGCAGGTAACAATCCTCGAGTAAGCCAAAGACAGGACGGAGAAGGAGCTTCATAGTTCCAACAATCCAAAGCAGAGAATTCGTGTTGGAAAGAAATGTCCAAAGATTTCAAGGACAAGAAAGAAGATAAACAAGAATCTCTGAATTTAATAACTTCAGAATGATGTATTAAACATGGATTCAGATCAGGTAAAATATAAGGACAAGTCCAGAGATGGTTCAAGTCTTCAGGAGCTGAGTTGCATTGTGAACAAAGCCAATCGGGAGAATACAAATAGGGTTTGCGTTGTTGTAGAGTAGTTAAGGTAGGCAACATATCCAAAAGGAGTTTAATACGGAAGATCCAGAATTCAGGATGACCATTCTTATGTGAAGCAAAACCTTTAATTTGTGAAAGGCAAAAATGTATACCAGCCCAA